AATACCGTCTGAAACCTCTCTGAGTTATTTGAACTGGGATCTAACATATTGATATTAAAATCACCTGAACATATTTCTTCAATTTTGTCTAAAAATAATGTTAAGTTCGAATTAGGTGGCCTATAAACAATACCGATAACTATAAAGTTATTCCTACCCACGTTTAATTTTATTCAAATACATTCCACCTGTTCACTGCATTGACTCAAAATAATTTCATATTTGAAAGTATTTCTCAGAAAAATACCTACCCCTCCGCCTCTGGATANTAACCTATAAGAATAGTTGGAGAAAGTTATTTGAGTAACTGCAAATCATTATGAATGAACCAATTTTTGTCTATTAAGGGTGAATATGAATGAATTTCACTTAAATGACTTACATTCGTTTTCTATTGTGAAATGTCGATGATCAACATCAGTTTTTTCTTTGTTCAATGTGAATTATTCACATCAATTTTTTTATTGTGAAATCTAAATGAAGCACATTAGTTTTTTCATTGTGAATCATTCGAGTCAAATTCATTCGTATTTGAGACATTGTCAATGTTAACTCATTTGCGGTCATCTAAATAACTCGTTCCTTCAATTATACTTATATAAAGATGACAATTTTATTTCATCTCCATAAATCATTACTTTAAAAACACCTGCAACTGTATTGACTTGATGCTTCAGCGGCCTATGCCAAATTGATTTCTACTTTCGAATTATTAAAAGACAATGGTTTTCTCTTTCTAACTTGATACTTAACACGCTTCCAATTGAAAAGAATTAAATATTGGATCATATTTCTATGTATCTTGCCTTTTTGAAGTATTTATTTATCAAACGGCTAACAAGAAGTTGATCTTTTTATGAAAAATTTCTCAGAATTATTCGAATCATTAGTAGATATCTATAATTTTTACCTGATTTGTACTTGCTGGATACCTGTTCTTATATTTATCTGTTACCAATTAGTAATCTATAATAATTAAAGTCAATAATTGGTATATATTGTATTGTAAATTAGTGTGGAGTACCGATCCAACTGAGGAAACTACTTTTTGTAATTGTGATTTGTAATTATCATGAATGGGCCAATTTATTCCAAATATAAAATGAAAGTGTTCATCAGTTCACTAATAATTCTAGTTTTATTTACAACGACCGACTATTTTTCGTTCATACTGCATACTCTTTACGAAAAAATATATAAAATTACCATATATTCTTTCTGAAATATTCGAAGTAAGTATGTAAGAAACTTCGGTCATATTACTTCTTACCATATTCCAGAAATTTGAGGTGAATATACCCTCAACTTCAAAGTATGTAGAAAATGTTGCTGTCAAGAAAAGATGACCAAATAACGTATGCACATAAAAATGCAAATTGTTTTATTATTTAAAACGACACAGTTTCCTCAAGATTCCTTCAGTAACGAGATATACTTCAAGATAACTGGACAATTCCTCTTTCATGAAAAGTCAACAAAGATACTTTTACAGCAATTTTTCTGGGCAATACATTCTGCGGAATGTTTACAATCTGTACATTTCAAGGCAATGTACTCATATATCTGTCGCGACATCCGTTGAATGTAAAATATTCTCTGCAGCTGTTCTTTATCTAGGGAAACTTCGAATAACAACCAAATAATGCGAGTTTCACCCTTACTGATCGTCATTGACCTTTAGAAAATGAATTGAATCTTCGCGTGTCATTTGGGTTAACTGCCTGTCTATCCAAGGACATAATTCCTTGGAGATTATAGCTGCTATTTACAACAAACGGAAATTTACGATGGACTTGCAAAAGATGGCTTTCCACGGCAGAGTTTTTCAATATGTAACCTTACCAGTGGCCGTATGGAGTTGGAGTTTTTGTTTTCTACTTTATTCTTGTTGATGATATCACTATCATATACAGTGGCATAAGAAGTGTCTCACATGGCATCCTATTAGAAAAGCTCTAGAAATACGGGATACATGGACCAGCTCTTCGACTCATTGAAACATTCATTACGGACAGACAACAATACATATCCTACAATAATGTGACCTCCAGAACCATACAAATCAAACATGGTGTACCTCAGAGTTCAGTCCTGGGGCCACTGTTGTTTATAGTCTATATGAATGATCTGCCAACCTTCTTAGACATCGCAGATGTATTTATGTACGCAGATGACTCAACTTTTTTTAATCAGAAGCAGGAATTTAGAAGAGATCGATATAATGTCAAGTGAGACACTGTCTCTAGGTGAAGCTTATTTCAATGCAAATATTTTGTCTTTGAATGAAAACAAAATTAAAGAAATAACTTTCTCAAAAAAATACAGCAAATGATTCATTCAAAATACTAGGATTTCACATAGATTCCAACCTGAACTGGAAAGAACACATTCAGGAATTGCAAAAAAAGCTGTCCAGAAGTCAATTTTACTCACAAAACTGAAGTCGACGATCAGGATCATCTTCTGAAAAACACTAGTAGCTGATACACCAGACGCTCTAGCTACTTGTCTGATAGATTGTCGATTATCCATTTGTACATGTCCTAAAACTGCAACTTCAACTCCGTCATTTCTGACAAGACAGGATACTTCATGTTCTCTGTTGTGAACAGAACCTGAAGTTCTGTGTTTAACTGTTTAACGTATTGATAGCTCAAGTTGTGGTATGGATGATTCGTATCAATAATTCTTGCAGCAGCTTTAGCACATTCATTATTCCGATAATAGGTTGCAACAATTTCTGATCTTTCTTCATCAGAATAAACCATATTGGAATACAGTGAACAAGGATGGCTGAATAATAATTTGGGAAGAAGTGACAGTGGTCAACTATTGAAAAAAATAGGGACAGTAATTGCTGACCGCAGGGGATGAAGTTTCGGGTATTATTTTCATATCGGAATTAGTCCCTCTAGAAATCAAAAAATTGACGTGTTCTTTGAAATTTTCGATTACACGTTCAATTGCTGACTTACAGGGGGAGTCAAGTTTTCTTTGGAACGCCCTGTACACCATGCCTTTTAAGTTTTGTTTTTATGTTTGGGATCTTGCATTCCATGTATTACTGTCCATCCTCTCTTCTTGAAACAACTTTTTCCAGGTTGGCTGTGCAACAATATATTATGCAAAATTACCCAACTTTCAATTGATATGCAAGCACATCCATGAATCGATCACTCTAGAGGTATATACAGGCTGATTCACGGTGGATAGCACATTAGACCTTTCTGGTGAACCAGACAACGGATCACTTTGAAAATTTAATGGAGGGCATATTCGGACATTCTCTAGCCAACTAAAATATTTTCGACAATGCGGTGTTGCCGCTTCTATTAGAAAGCAGTAGCAACTTTGATTTTTCAAATGGAACACTCTGTATATAATATTATTTTTGGAATCTCCAACAATTGCCCGA